ATGGATTATTGATTATAGGTGATATGTATTAATAGATCATGGATTATTGATATATCATTGAAAATCAGTGATTGCCAATTTCACATTATAGATGATCAATAATAGATTATTTATCATAAATTATTTTTGATTACACATTGTTGATTATAGGTCACAGATTATCAAAGGTAGATTATTGATCACGTATTATAGACAATGGATTATAGATTACATTTGATAGGCAGATGATAGGCTATAGATTACTGATTGTTGATTATAGATAGGTAATAGATGTAGATCACAGATTATAGATTATAGATTATAGATTATAGATTATAGATCTCCTGCTTCTTGCTGTTTGTTGCTGATGTAAAGTTTAAACAGTTTCTGCTGGAAAACAAACAAACTGACGGTTCATCAGGATCCAGTCTGACAGAAAGCCCGACGTGTTCTAACGTGTTCTGTCAGATCCTGTGGAACCCTGTAAGCCTGCGGTTCTCCGTCTGAAGCTTCGCTGCTGCAGAACCTGGAAGCAGCTTTGTGATTTTCAGACAAATGCTTTTGTGTCGACGCAGCCGAAGGTCAAAGGAAACGTTCCATCATATGTTCATGAGAGAACAACAGGAACCGGAGCACTGAGTCAACGTCTGCTTCTAAGACGAGCTCCAGGCGGCAGAACGTAGAACCTCTCTGGGAGTAAACAGGATTAACTGGAGCGGAGGAACAATATCACAAACATGTGAGGAATCCACCGTCACAGCAGAGCTCAGCATCTGGCAGCAGCTTCTTCAGCCGCCATCATGTGACCTCAACCCCCAGCCAGAAGCTACAGCACCACATTAGCTGCGTCTAGAGTGGGTTTGGTTCTGGATCTGCCACCGTGGCCGAGCTCTGACAACCAAACACACCCAGAACCGGACCGAACACACTCAGCCCTGCGTCCAGGTGTGGCCACGCCCCTCTCTCACCTCCATCTTGTGCTGGTTCTCCTGCACGGCGTCCAGCATGTTGACCAGCTTGTCCAGCAGAGTGAGGACCGTGATGGCGTTGACGGGACCCTGGCTCATCTTCTCCGGGTCGAATCCGGCTAGGGGGGAGGAGGGCGAGGCCTGGTCCTCGTCCTGCTGGTCCTGCTGGTCCTGCTGGTCCTGGTTCTTGGTGGGAACCAGCAGGTCCTGGCTCTGGTGGGTCTCAGTGGTCACCATGACGGCACCGTCGAACAAGAACACTGAAACTCTACAAACTGTGCTGCAGCAGAAAAACTCCGGAGACTCTGCCTCGCCCTCCCTGTGTGTGTGTGTGTGTGTGTGTGTGTGTGTGTGTGTGTGTGCTGCGCTCTGATTGGTTGGCTCTGAGGAAAACTTTCCGTCCAACTTCCCGGCTGTGGAAGCGTCCACACCTTTAACTCCTTCAGCGCCGCGGCTCAGCAGACCTCCTGCTGCACATGGAGCTGAGTTAACACCTGATGATACACCTGAGCCAC